AAAACAAACACCCATCAAATACAACAATAATAGTTCCTGTGCAGTAAAGTTAATTAGAGGAAAATTGTGAACAGACATACTTTTCTGTTAGTTTTATCCATACTTTATGACTGAGTGTTTGAAGTTATGAAGGATACTGAGGCAGCACTCCTAAAATGTGTCTCTTACAGAACATTGTTTTCTTCAATTATTTCCAGTTATATGCTTGACTGTATGAAGTTAGGGGTCATTTATTATTTAAAAGCACAGTTGTTCCTGCTTTTCAGGGATTTTTAAAAGAGTTTGCGTCTTTCTGATTAAAATCAATGAATGAATGATGAGTAATAATTCCATTTAAATTGCTTAGTTTCTCATCAGTTCTGCAAAATTTTTGCTGTAATTCCAGCTGAAACAAGTTGTGCTAATTGCAGAAAACAGGGAATGTCAGTAGACATTAGTTTAGTCTGTGAATGTGTGTTGAAATGCACTAACACATACTCACAAAGGCACAAATCCCTCTCTGCAAGCCCACAAGTCAATGAGTGCAGTTAGCAGCCAGGAAGACTGACAGCTATTTTATTTTACAGATGGATTATCCCTAGGGGACCCAGAGAGTAACTAATACTGATTTGTAAAAGTATTGATCACTGCCAGGTCCCTTTAATTTCACTGGCTGGGGAAGGACACAGAACAAACAGATGGTGTTAACATGACAACATTTCTGTTTAAAAGGAACAGATTTTTTTCTTGTTGCAGGAGTCTATATGCTCCTTGGTTGGTCAAATAACAGAAGGAAAAGAATATTTTTTGACTTTCGGGGATTACCCCCTGCGGAACAAATTTCAAAGTTAGGGATTCAGGTAGGAGCCCAGTAAAACTGTTCAAAAGAGGGTCACGGTTGAACGTGGCTCTCTCAAAGCACTACACAGACCGGGATGCGTGCTTTGTGAAGTTAAAAAAATGCCACAGATAATACACAGCTCCAGTCATTATTACCAAAAGGTAAGAGCACAAGTCTGTAAGGCGATTGTATCTCCCCCATCGTGAGTTTAAACTGCTTGGTCACCCTCTTTTTCTGTTCCATCGTCTAACTCTCTTCTGTCTAGTGGGCCATCCCAGCCCCTTCACTGCTCCTCAGTTCTTAGATTACAATTGCATAGACTCCTTGACTCTGCCTTCACCCCACTTTACGTTCTTGCTAGTTCTTCACATTCAGCCAATAGATCTCTTTCAGCCTGTCATCTGTCTCCTCTTGGCCAGTTATTCCCAGTCCCTCAGCCCTAATCACTTAGCAAACCAGCTTCTCAATACCTTTCCTGTAATAATTAAAGCTTATTGAACTCTTCTCTGTCCTCAGCTATAAATCTCTGCATCCAACTGCCCTCTGGTTCAGTAGCTTTAACCACAAGACCTCTCAGGCTTGTGGCCAGTCTCCTCTAACCACTAGGTTACACTGTTTCTCTCTCACTGCCTGGACCTTAAGGTGCAACTGCTGTTTCCCAGTCCTGAGCTTTTAAATAATCCTACCCTCAGTGGAACACAGCAGAAACAATAAATGCTGGAAGCAGTCCCTAGAGGTCACTGACCTGGCTTTATGATGCTAAGGATTTCCCAGTAAAATCACAGGTGATGTATTCTGAGTCACTGACCTTCCAGTGGGGATGAGAAATAGCAGGCTGGCCAGGGGGATGTGGTAGCTGAGAGGGGTGACAGTGTCCATCCAGTGTAGGCTGATAATGAAGTGGTTGGTATTGCCTTTCTGTCACTGAGCAATTACAGGGGGAGATTTACAGCAATAGATAGGTGCTGAATGGACAGGGAGATGTAAACTACTTCAATATAGACTGGTAATCAGTGAGAGCAAGCCAGATACAGGGGGGACATAGCCATCTGGGACATAGACAGAAGAAGACAGAGAGAAGGGGAATATTCTGAGTCCTTTGATAATTGTGTTTTAGCAGAAATTCCTTACTCAAACTTAATTGCACAGATATGTCAGACAATATTTGTAATGAATAGCCTCAATCTGAAATGTCCTGTAATTGTTCTTTAATTAACAATACTTGTATGACATACTTGATCTAGTATTCTGCAATTGTTGCTACTTGTGTTATTTGAAAAGAGACTGAGTCTGACTCCAGTGAAACAGTTCTGGGGAAGCAGTGGAATAGTTCTACTGTTCTACTGTCTTTTCCCCCACCACTGGACAGGAGGGCAGAAGACCCTAAGCTGTATGGCATGAAGACACACTTTCTTGTACATGTTCCTGGGCAGACACCTTTAAGAAATATTACTAGGATTGATGGGGAAGACACTATTATTATCCCATTGACTGGAAATTCCTGAAATTATTCTTGGTGATCAAATTTTAAATGGCACTTATCTGTGCTACATTTTCTGTGCATTCTATGCACTCATGGCCTCTATGTAATGGTATCCTGTAAGAAATGCTGGTGAGGAATTAGCAGTGCAGTCTGGGAGTGTCTCAGGCAGGCGTGAGAAAGTACTCTGGCTTTCTGGAAAGAGCAGGACTCACAGAGGCATTCCTCAGCCAGAAATACTCCCAGGGTGAGTGCAGCTCTCCCACTGGGATCGTAGAGGCTTGGTGGCAGGTTATTTGCAACTAAGTCTTCACAAATAATGCCGGCCATGAACTTTAAACGACCAGCTACCCCTCTGACATCACCATCATTTTTAAGCTGAAATCACAGGAGCCTACAGAGAGAGCAGAAAGTGAGCTCCGTTAATTGAGGTGTTTTGATGGACCCTGCTTACCATGCTTACTGAAGGGGCAGGCCGTATGACCTTTGATCAGTTTTACTCCACTGCCTCTTTACTTTGAAGTGCTTGTTGTTTATGAGGAGCCTTGTCCTTTACACCTCGTGTCTCCTGTAAGACACCTGTCGCCTGTTGCTGTAAGTGACACTGGCAACAGGCTGCTTGTGGCTCCATTCCCTAGTGCAGATGGAATGAGGTAGGGAATGGAACCAAGGCATGCAGCCAGGCAGCTCCACCATCTGAGACCCCTGCATTCTTCTGTCCACTAACTATTTAGTTGTCAGTGATTTGGTTTAAGTGGAATTGACTTTTATCTGCAATCTGCTTTAAGGCTGCCACCGGCAATACAGATTTCCCCTTTCTGTGCCTCTGTTTTGTCTTTCCCTCTTGTCACTTTCAACACATTACTATTGGCAGCTGAGCCACCCTTGATCAATACCCCAGCTCAGGAATGGCCTGCAGCTGTGCCGCAGCTGCAGGGCAGACTATTGATCAGGTCCTGCGCTCCCACAGGTTGGCCGGCCAGTCGGCCTGAGCGCTCAGGCAGGGGCGGGAGATCAGGAAATGGAGCAGCGGAAGGAAGGTGTCAGTCTTAACTGTGCGACCTACTCACACAGCTCTCTTGGAACTGTATGGACAGCATTTACAGAGACCACAATGCTTTTCCCTCAGTATAAAAACAGACACATGCCACATGAACGTTGCATAGATTTAGACTTCTTAGAAGCATTTTGTAAACCTCGTTCAGTCTGTAAGTTAATTAGGCTTGTTTGCTGTTCCCTAAACTACTACGTTTGCATTTTGTCACACCGAGTTTCTGTATGTTTTACTTTTCCACTACAGGTTGCGTTAACATGGTGAAGCCATTCAGCCCATATTAACTTGTTTGATGGCTTGCAGTTAACTGATGCAAGGATCTCAGGTAGCCTATTCTTGTAAGAACCCAGGGTATGGGCATCAACTGCATGGCTCGCTGGCTTGATCCAGACCCCCGCAACTATAATAAACTTGCGTTGGCATTGATGTATGCATTTGACACACTGAAAGGAAATTAAATAAAAATATTAGATTTTCCAAAACAGACAGCTTCATTTTTTTTTCTAAAGCTGTAAAACAGGGACAAACCGTGCTGTAGAACAGAATCGTTCATCTTTTGGTGCACTGATTAGGACATTGAAAAGCAGGACTGTTTTAATCATTAGGTGCTAGCGCAACACACTCTGTAAATACTCTTCCAGTGCAGATATGACTCAGATTGACTTGACAAACATGTAAAATAAACCTCAGAGGGTACGCAGACCCTCTGACCCCCTTCCACTGAGATCTTGGTGAGGGGTGGTGCGTGCCTGGCTAAACCCCACCCAGTCTGTATCTCTGCCAAGGTACCAGGTTGGTTGTTTTTGTTGCAGTTATAAGTGCTGCTCCCTGGAGCTCCTCATCAACAAGTTAATAAGTGCCCTAGGGAACAATTAAACCCCAGCTTTAACTCTGCTCTAACCACAGAGGTAAAAATAATCATAAAAATGTTGCCAAATAAAAAGGGCTCCAATGGGACCGCAGGAAAATCATAGCCTGTCTACTATTCAGCCCCTTATTTACTAACTGCAGCGGTGCTCCTCGAGAGCTGTCAAGACTGTAGTCTACAATGAGCGAATGAATCTGAGTTAATATATAGACCCATGTGGTATTCAAATTTCTGTGACAATCAATGGTATTTAAGGAAATGTGTGTGATGTAGGTGACATTGTTCTATATCAGGGATCTTTTTCAAGACACAGATGTTTGCACATTGCGGGAATTTTCTTCTGCTGCTCACAGAGAAACAAGAGTTTGTGAAACCAATAAAGAAACATACAAAAAAGTCCAATCACACAAGAAGGGGAGATTAGACATAGTGATTACGCGCTTCATCTTCGTATAATGACAAGATTCTGGTGAAGCTTTAAAAAAGAATGTCATACTCTTACCGCTGGAGTCGTAAGTTTCTTACTTTTTTTTTTGTTGCTGTATAAAGTTTGTACCTGATTTGTCACAAACAAAGTCCACCAGGAATGAAATTTGTAAAAAGAACTTGACTGTGATAGTAAATTAAGAGCTACATGGCAAGCTCCTCAAGAAGCAATCTATGCACAGGCTCTGAGACTAATGTCAGCCCTCGACAGTCTGTGACATATGTGTATAAGCTTTAAGGTGTTGCTGCTAGTTTTCCTCACTTCATTGCTTCTTTCTTGCTGTTTTCCTAGGTGGCGCTGTCGGCCCTGCTCAGCAGACACTGCTCATGTGACCTGACAGACTGCCACCCTATTGGCTTTCTCTTCCTCACCTGGGCCTTTTTGCTTCGGAGACCCGAGAAATACTCTTAAACCTGGGGAATACAACAAAGAGCACGCGGGCGCAATCTTTCATGGCGGCGAGGAGGCGGATCTGAAAAGCCTTTACTTATTTATTTGTTTTTTCATAAAAAGACGAACGTCGGAACATTAGAAAAACCCTTTGGCCTCCTGGGGCGGTCTCCCCAGCCTGCTGAGACTTTGAGGGTGCAACCTTTCTGTCCCTGGCATCAAACAGACACTTGAAAAGAAGACACGAACAGAAGGGCTTTCTGCTCAGTGGCAGCTCGACAAGACCCCATCAGGTAAGACTGCGGATGTCTGTGAAGTCCTCCTACTGCTCTCTCTGCCCCCACATCTCTGGGCTCTTAACCCCTGCATTGCCCCAAACCAAGATGAATTAGCCAGTGTCATCAGTTGCTTTGAGAATGCCCTAACACTAAAGTAAGAACTACTTGTACATTATAGTGCTTTGTGCCACTTTCTTGGGCACAGCCTTTATCATGTCCTCATTTGCTTTTTCAATTTAAGGGCTTGCTGTGTTTTTATGGTGCTGGTAGATCACTGAACTACAGAACGGCTCGTCTTTGCCTTCTTCTTTCTTTCTGCTTTGTACGAAAAGGCTCTCCCATGCCACTGTAGACTGTGGGAGGTACTGCAAATCAAGAACAAAGGGCTTACGAATTTTTTTCTTTTCAACTTGCCAGCCCCTTTGAAGACCCGATTCAAATTGACTTAATATTTGCAAGCCATGCGTGTACTCACCTGGTGCTTTACTGATAGCACCAAGGTAACATGGTGATTCATTGTACTACAGCGGTTCAGGAAGGCTGAAGTTAACTTGTTTTCATATTTATTGAGATGAGGGGTGACTGTGCTTCAGAGAGCCCAGAACGGAGAGTTTCTCATGCATGTTGTCAGTGGTAGACTGGTGAGAAAATAGGGCTTTTTTTGGCTCATTGTTAAGGAGAGTGGTGACAGTGCAGTGGAACTGAGAATAGAGTGTTTTACAGGTAATTAAGGTGGAAACCATCATTACACCAGAGCTAAAATGTCATTTTTAGTCGTTATTAAGGTAACAGAAACAGCGCTAGGAAGCTGAGAATGGTGTGGTTTTAATGCTTGTTTGTAAATGTCAGGGTGCAGAGTGACATGGTGACTAGAGATTCAGTAGTCATTATTTGGGTATGCAGTGACACAGCTGGAGGGCTGGAATGGAGTGTATTAGTGCTCATGGTTGCTTTGTTGAGTGTTGGTCTTCCACAACATGACAAGGTGTTTTTACATACAAGGAATGTATTTGGTGGCAGTTTTTGGGCGATTAATGAAAAGATGACCCACTTTCATATTTTCTGAACAATTTTAGATTGCTTCTAGTTACATATCTGCCACAAGGGCTTTGGATTTCTAGTTGTAACATTATTCCCTTTTAATTTCAATTTTAGTTTGAATCAATCATTGAAGATTTATACAGTATACTATAGAAATAACATGGGTTCATCACAGATCTCACAAGTAACAGACATCAGAAAACCATTTTTTTATTTCAAGTTATTTCCTAACATTTCTTTTACAGGTTCTGTAGATTTCTTTGTAGCGCCTCTGTCCCTTCAAGCAGTGAAATTATAAAGTATATATTCAATTCACTCTCTTTATTAGAGTTATAAACGCATGTTGATTCTTATATATACTGTACATTTCCTGCCCTGGCCGACTGTTACAGTTCTTTTTTAATCAGAAAACCAATCCAAAATAATTATGAAGGAGAGGTTAGCCCAGCAATGCTGTTTACTTACCTCAAAGAATACACAAGTCAGTGGCAGGCTGTTTTTGTGTAAGATAGAAACAGCAATGGGGAGTTTAGATAGAAGGCATTAGCAAACACAAGAGGTTAACAAGACCGTTTTCCCCAATAAGATAAAGCTCAGAACATGCTGGGACTGTGGCTGTTGAGAATGAGGTTATTTGCTGGTCCCTAAATAAGCCTGATTGAAAGTAAGTGGTGTTTATAGAATTAGGCAAATAAAAAACCATGTATGATAAAGAAGAGAAATTCCAGGGGAAGCGCACTATCTGCAGTGCTCCATGGCATTTGTGGTCTTTGTTTGAAAAGTTCAAAGTAATTTTATAAAATTTAGGTCACTGCATATTACAGGAACACAGCGGGTAACCATCATTTGTGAAAAAAATAAAACATACATAAAGATCTCTTTTATTTTCATTTTCTAATATGTATTTTAAAGGACTGTGGGCTTTAAAAAGAAAACACTTCAAAGCATTAAAAGGAACAATATCCATCTTTTTGGGAACTAATTAAGGACGTGAGTTGAAATTTATTTCACAGAAGCACATTACAGCCCCTGAAGGGTCAGCTGGTTCACAATAGGACAAAGATAATGCGACAGAAGTCGACAGTGCCAAATGCCGACAGGACAGAGAAGCCCCCTTGTCTGCTAATGGTGTTTGGCTAGCCCAAGGCTCAGACACCACTGCCTATTCTGCATGTGGGATGCACTCTACTGTAGTTGGATCTGTTCTCTTTGTGCCAGCTGTCTTTGCCCTCCTGCAAAAGAAATGCATAATTTCATACATGAAAGACATATGTAATTGGATGCTGCCTGACCAGATCATATGCAAGAAACTGAAAAAAAAGCAGGCATGTGTTTATAAGAGATATACATTTGTACATAATCTGCATCTGATTTAATATGAGGCAGATTCCTTGGTATACATGTATATTGCACGGACTTTATCATATAAACATATAATGAATTTATGTTGTATATTCTTATTTCAAAAGGGTCCAGACTGATAACAAGTCCGTGTGACATACAAGAACATGTTGAATGAGATAGATCATTGTCTAAGTATGGCGTTCTACACAAAGTAGAATGCAATACACAAGTATTGCTGAAATAAAGAAGAAGAATTGCATTTTTAAAAATAAAATACTTCAGCCTTGTGGAGCTCAGTAGGTTTCTTGCACTACACTTGTTGAACAATACATGCAATATATTTGGTCAACTTGTGTATCTATCATTCAGATTGTATGCATCCATGTATACTGTGACTGAGAGCCCTGTAGAAGATGCGGACTTATTGAACTATTGCCATTGAGTTCTACTGCAGAGACAAAATCTGGGTTTCAGTCTAGGACATATTGTTGGGCTTCAGGCATAGTTACTCAGACTAGAATTTGTAACAGGGCTGCTGAATCCAGCTCAAATGAAGGACAAGTCTTCTGTTCAAGATCTGGAATTGACCTCCTCTTAAGTGGATATTCTAATTGGGTGTTTCAATTAAGATTGCTAATGAAAGTAGCCCAACAAAGACTTCAGTACTGTCAGAGGAAGTCACTGAATCTTTCTCAAGGCAGGTGGGGGGTGGACACATTGCCTTGGCAGGTGTTAAAACTACCTCCTGTGGTGTTAATGTACTGCAGAAGTAAACGCCTCTCCTGTTAATTACTCTAACAAGCTCACACCTAGCTGAGGAATGGACTCCCTAATCGCTTTTTTTATTGGGCCATGGGTCTCTAGGCATGCCTCCCACCATTCATGCTACCCAGACTCTTCCTGACCCCTCGGGCTATAGGCTACCGAAAGGGCTGGATCTCTTTATCCTGCTCTGCTCTTGATAAAACCCCAGTGCTAGAATCCAGCACGTGCGTCTGTGTGTGACACGGGTCACTAAAACCGCAGGAAAAGGCACGGTTGAGCTTTCTCTTGCGGTAGCCTGCATTAAGGCTGTGGGCAATGAGAACGTCGGTTGTCCGCACGACTGTTTCTGGAGTCGTATACGAGAAGTGAAGTGCTTGTCAGTGTGGGCAGGGACTTTCAGTCAATCACTATAATAATTATGCTATCACGCCCACACAGAGATGTTTGGGTGCTGAATGCTTCGCAGAAACAGGTTGCTGCCAAACAGTGCTTTCCAAACCACACTTTAGAAGAACTGATAGATCTTGTTAGTGGGTACAACCATCACACACTGCTGATCGGCTGACAATGATCTGTGTATTTCTTTCAGAGCCATGTTGCTTTCTTTAGGGTATCACCGCATTTCATGTTGCTAAATCTTCCTGGACTACTGTGTGTGATGCTTTTCAAATTTTAGAAAAACAAAGCACCCCCAATAGTAGAATTCAAAGTAATAAGTGTGACCAATTCAAAGTAGAAATTAATTTTTTAGGAGGTTATTTTGGTCAATAGTAAACTTAAACCCAGATTTAAGACACTTAATAAATACATTTTTTTCTTAAATCTTAAAAATCTCTATTTCTCTTTCTTTAAGAAAAATAGTTTTTAAGAAATACTTGGAATGTGCAATGTGTATAAATCTACAGACAATGAAAAACCAACAACAGGCATTATTAAAGACTGTTTGAATGAATTAATGAAATATTCTGCTAAAATAATCCAAATGAAAATATTTAAGAGCTCTCTGCAACATGTCTCAAATAGAATTCACATTTCAATAATATGAAAGTAAAGGACTGATACTACTGCACCTGACATATCTAGAGATTGACACAATTGACCTAAAACCTGTATTGAACAATATAAGAAAATAAATAAGTACAGAAATGTGATTAAATTTATGATGCCGAGGAAATCCAAATGAAAAGGAAAATTTAATGAACAATAAAGTAAAGATGGAAAAAAATGGTCAAAGAGGTATGCTATTGTACTGTGAAAGTGCAATGAACTTCAATGTGGAGCTTCCATTACATTAAAGACAAGATGCTGTTGCGGGTTTAATTCCAGTAGTTAAACCCATATATGCTCAAGTGAAATGGATTAATTTCTCTATTCATAATTCAGTGTGGTTTGGAGTATAAGCAATGAGGAGCTAATTGCGATGCTGTCAAATCATAGTTACATATTGCTGTTGTTTGGATTCAAACACAAACACATTTTAGAAAGATATGCAAGGCATTACCTGCTGGTTAAATAAAATATATATACACAAATGGTATAGAGGGGACAGAAAGTTGTATGTTCAGTTATCTACAGTATATATCACTACATGGGCCTAGCCTTCTAAGCCCCATTTATGAGTAATAAAAAAAAAATGTGATGCAAAAGATTGCAACAGTGCAGTAGAGACAAAAATGTTTTAAAAATAAAATTACAAGATAGAACTGTATCTTGTGAACAAGATGTGAAAAATATTAGTGTCATGATTTTTTCTTGCTCAAAGTGCATCCTCTATGCGGGAGGTTCACAACCAAAAGACTGATCGAGGAAAGGAAATCTGTGAGCAGTTTGTGACTCAAAGGCTATAGGTGAAAAAAACATTATTT